GATTGTTGACAAAAGGTTTACCTGGTAGTACTTAAGCAACTGTGGTCTTTTCTTCTTGAATGTTGGTGTGATAAGGTCTCGTTCCATGTCGAACGGGACTGGATCAAGATGAACTGCTCTAATGACTTCAAAACCCTTCAACTGCGAAACGCCAATAAAAAAAAATAAAAATTGGGTATGTTAGTAAAATATTAAATAACGAAAGAAACATGTAATAAGAAGGGGGAGTGGTTAGTGAACCGAACCTTCTTTTCTTTTGAAATCCGTGCGAGCTCTCCAAGAAAGTATTCTTTCACTTTGGTATTTTCACAGAGGGCTTTAAAGTCCCCAGATATGTCATTCTGTTCAGCCCATCGTTCCACTGCTGGCTGACTTGGGTTGATAATGGCAACAAGGAAAGATTCAAAGCTGTTCCCATATACCCATATCTGCAATTTTTCATAAATGTTTACTTTTATTTTTTATTTTTTATTTTTTTATTTTTTTATTTTAACCTTGTCACGTGTACATACCGAGTCAATATCAGAAACTAGACCATATATATTTTCCAAGTTCTCGACTGCAACATATTCTCCTTGTGAGAGTTTGAAAATGTTCTTCTTACGGTCAATAATTTTCAAGCTCCCATCTGCTTGCCATTCACCGACATCACCTGACAAAATACAGATTGATTAAAATCATGATGCAAACAATAAGTAACGGACTTGATATTGATTCAATGTGTGTCACTAGGAAACTAACCTGTGTGAAACCAGCCATCAACAAAGACTTCTTTGGTTAAGTCTTCGCGTTTGAAGTAGCCAGAAAACAAAGTATCACCCCTTACACATACTTCTCCACGAGGTGTACTTGAAAGGGCATCGTACCCCATTTCGGGAACAGATTCCAGGCAAACCTCAACATTAGGGACTGGGGGACCCACTGTGCCCAGCATCTTCAGCTCGTCCGGTATTGAAACAAATGTACCAGCACAAGTTTCCGTCAAGCCTAAATTCACGAAGAAAAAAATAAACAAATCAAACAGCATCATAAAGCAGGAAAATATGCAATCAAAACCAGTAATAAATGAATTTCAAGGTCCAGAGAGCATTGAAACCAGCATAAACATAAATCATCCTTCAAGGGAAATGAAGATTTGGTCATTTGAACTTTAGACAAAAGAGAGAAGATTAGATGAAGTCAATAACCAGCAGCAAAATGTGGAATCTCTAAAATTTCTTACACATGAAACCATAAAAGGGAGGCTTCCAACTCGATTATAGGCAGTCTAACAGTCAAATCCCAGTTAAACCAGTGCGAGGATTTTGTTCAATTATTCAGAATTTAAAACCAAAATAATGGTTAGTAATAATATGAAAACGTAAGTGAAACAGTAATTTTTTTACATAATTAAATCATAAATGACACAAAAAACTTAACCCAGCAACTATGCAGGAAATAACACAGCCAATAGTCTTTTCAAGGGTGCCAAACCTTACACAAAAGACACACTTCAAATGCAGAAAAAGCAGAAGTTTTACAAACTCCAAGTAAATAAATAAATAAATAAATAAAGGAAATTCAATAGATATTTGTCATAAGGTAAAGCGAAGTACCGTATCCTTGAAGAACATAAGAGCCTGACACAACTCTCAGAAATTCTTCTACATGTGAGGCAAGAGGTGCTGCTCCAGATAAAATAAGTCTTACTTTGCCCCCTAAACCTTGTTTCACCTAAAAAGCATGCCAGAAGAATGGCGGCAGTCAAACTTCTGTAGAACTTTGAGAGATATGCATATAAGGTAAAAATCCACGAATGTGAAGATAATTACCTTACTGAAAACAACTTTATCACATATTGGAGATGCCTCTGCGTGTTTTTGTCCCTTCCTCATATTTCGTAATTTTCTGCAATAGAAAAGTTTGACGTGCAGGTATTAGAACTATAGATACAGTGAAAATAATATAATCGTGTTAGACCCCTGTAATACGAAGGTTGCAGCTTGAGAGCATAGTGCTAGAATAAAACCATATTGTTAAGGTCTCAAAAGTTTTGTAAACAGAAATAGAATAAGTCATCATGGTTGAAGTAAAAAATTATTGGTTCAAAACGCTGTAAAATTCTTTTTCCTTAGGATTTTAAAGAAGCTGAGAATGGAAAGAAGAAGAGAGTTCATTAGTGGAATTTAAATTCTAGTTGTAATGAACCCTCACTTTTATTGTTCCTGCAGAGCAGAAAGAGTAAGACAAAATTGGATAAGAACTTACAAAGAGTAAGCAAAATTGAACATTGTTTGTTTGACAAACCCCCCTGACGAAATCTTCAGCTGTAAACCTGAAATAAAAATACAAACGCACCTAAAATAAGATCATAAAAGATGGCAGAAACCATAGAATTCCTTCAGCAGACAACCCAATCCTTTTATCCATACTTCAATATTTAACAGTCTAAAATAAGATCATAAAATGGTAATGGCAGATCTCATGATAACATGCGTAAGAAATATTACGTTCAAACAATCCACATCCCAGCATCCTACGCAGTCATCTTAAAATACATAACAATCAAACTATTAATAATACTTATACATTAAGGCAGACACCAACCTGCATAAATTCTCTCTAGTACCCGAGGAACAGCACAGAAAATAGTGGGCTTAAGCTCTGCAATATCTTCAACCAATAACTTGACATCCTGTGGATATGAAAATGACATATAAATTACTGGTGTTTCTAAGCTATAATAATAATAGGAGTATAAACAAAACTTTCTTACCCCACGCCAAAATCCAATTGACGCCCCGTGATTGATGAAACACTCTTCAATGACTCGATCAAAGATGTGCGCCAGGGGAAGATATGACAGATACACATCATTGACCGTCAACTGAAATTTAAACAAGAATGAGATAGAAACTCAATGCACAAACTTTTGAATTGATTGTTTTGTACCTCACACACTTTTCTATAATGAATACCTCATATTTTATATATGATTATATTCTATCTTTCATTAATTATATGAACAGTATAAGATAATCAAATAGATATGTAATCACCGATTCATTGACATTCGATAGCAGACATTGTACTCCAGCTATTAATGTAACAATGCTTTTGTTGGAAATCATGACTCCTTTGGGGTCTCCAGTAGTCCCACTAGTATACATAATTGTACAAATGTCTGTTTTCTGTTTCACGGGGAGATCAAAATCTTTGTGTTTTCCCTGCAAAATATTAACGTTCTGGAGTTTAAAATCAATTGGCAAGAGAGTAATACATGAGATGCCTGATGTAACTGAATGAAACAAACAGAAGATAAATGATTTGTGAGTCAATTGACTGTAAATTCAATTACAAAGTAATTTAAACATGGCAATAAATTCTGATGTTTAAATTAGTTAAATACATGATGGCACATCAAAAAGTGTGTGCCATACATTTACTGGTATCTCCACCCATGGGTGGAACCAGAAATTTTCGGTTGGGGGCCGAAAATTTCAGAGATAAAGAGAGCCAGAGTCCTGAGTTATTTCTAGGGATATTAACAGACAATAGTACAGAATAAAAATAAATAAATAAGTAAAATAAAATACAAAACTTGTATACAGCAATTAAAATAACATGAATTAAAACATAAGCATTCCCAGAGATGAGAAAAGACGATGCCCTACCCTCCTATACATTTCTTCTAGTAACTTTAGTGGCTAAGTAGCCGCAAGTCAAGATCAAGCTACAATATCTACTGTATACAACTATGGTCTTTTGTTTATGGGGTACACAAATATGCTTAATAAAACAATGCCAGAGAATAAACTGAAGTGTCAGAAATACTGTTCATTTTCCGACCTCTTTCACACGTTGTAATGGAATAACGAGAAGGATGTAAACTGGAAAAGGCAATAGAAACCACAAAGGCCAAAAGATCATGTTGTATGCAGATGAAATTACAACTTAATCTCTCTTTCACATAAAGTGTTCAGGGTAATCCCTTTTTTTTTCCTTCTATCGATTGATTGTTCATTTTTCTAGATGTACGTCACTTAGATCTACTTGATACGTTTCATCCAAAACCCTTCAAAATGAATTTAATTGGCAGTAAATGTAAGATAAGGTGGGGGGATGTAATTTTTGAGAAAACAACTTAGTTGACCCAAAAAAAAAGCAACCAGGAGAAATGAGTTAACCAGCAAATGCATGATGTTGAAGCTTCAAATTAAAACATCAGACCACATAAGAATGTATGTAATGAAGTTCAGAACCATACTGCTATCCACTTAACAGGGGCTACGGGAGGGGAAAATTGAATGATCAATAGTGTTATGCATGAATATACATCTTCGATGTAATCACAAGTGTATGATAGTACACAGAAGAAATAAATTACTAATCAAGATCAACAGGCATACCAATGACAAAAATTCATGCCAAGAATAAATAGCCGCGCCATATTTTTCAGCTTCTTCCTTCTGTTCAGAAGTGACTCCCCCAAAGCTTACAATTGCTGAAAATTGAGCAATATATTCGTCATTTTCATTAACATTAATAAACAATAATCAAAAGGAAATCTAACACCACAAGCTACTTACTTTTCAAGTACGTTGCTGCACCTGGAAATGTTTTCAAGAGCTGAAATTCCAATAATGAATGTTAGCATAAGTTGCTGGTCCTCCTTAACCCAGGACACGTTATGAAATTTCTAGCCTAACATATTTCCTAAAAGTTCACGGATATATGTGTGAACATCATCATTGTATGAAGGTAAAGTGAGAGCCAAAGCGTCACAAAGAGATTTTTTGAACCACATTATTTAATAAAATATTTTGCTGTATAAATTAAACTGATAAAAACTTCCATAATACATATAAAAGGACTTCCATTTTGGTGAGTTAACAATTCTACCTCTGAAACTTTTTTTTCTTCTACAAAAGCAAGTGCAACTTCCGCATGGCAAATGATGAACTCAATAGCCCCAGCACCTGAACCAGCCAATGGGAAGAATTACATTTTATGGATTCTATGCTGTAGGTAATTAACAAATGGATCCACACATGGAAAAGGCCAATAAGCATGTGAATTGTCTCTCAGTATGCAGTGAACCACATGAATGAATGCAAAAGGAAGAATGATACATACCTAAGGTGTCATATAGAGGAACGCAATAGAGCCCATGAGCATTACATGCCTGCATCAATTTGTTTAGTTTCAGTCAACTCGAAAAAGTTATTTCAGATATATTCTTGGGATGAATTTTTAGACACAAATAAGATGCTTGATACTATATTCAAGATATACTCTTGAATTGTCAAGATAAAATAAGATCATAGCGGAAAATACACAGGTATGCAAATTCGTGTGTACGCACACACTCACATAACCAGGGAATAAAAATCATGTTAAGTACCTCCATACTCATAATCCACTCAGGGGAATTAGATCCATAAATTCCACATCGTCCTCCCTGACATCATTAGTTAGTTAAAAAAAAAAAGTGAGATGGAAAATCATTTAGCCACAAAAATACAATAAATATAATTTAACAAAGTACAAATAGACCAAATGACCAAAATCCAAGCAACTATGAATTAACAACGTACAGACAATTCAAAAATGAGCGGAAGTCAAGAAATTAGCATAGGGTAGCGTCAAAAAGCCGAAGCATAGAGGTCATGGCAAGCAAATTTAAAATTGAATAATGACTAAGAGCCATATTGAGTTGCACCATGCTTCACCAATAAATAATGAGCTATAATTTAGAGTGGACCAATGAAATCAAGACAGTTTTAGGGGAATACAACAAACAGACACTTCAAATGGAATTTTAAGGTTGAACTACGATAATGACTATTGACAGAAGAAATAGAATCTGAGAGCAGGTTTGTTGATGCTCACTTCTTCAATGCCACAAGCGCGGATGGAATTACCAATTTTCAGCACTACGTCGTAAACTTCTTTATAAGTCATCCACGAATATTTACCAGGCTGTGCGGCAGATGAACAATAACGATCAGTCAAATCGTACCAAAATAAAAAGGAATAAAGGTATAAAGAAACAAATATGAAGTTTCAAGCATGATGAACTGCTAGTTGTTACACAGCAATTATACCTTCCCATCGACAATTTCACGGCGACCAAGCATCCGGTTATTGGGATATTTCTCTACTGACAAACTGTGCCACAAAAGAAAGAGTTGAATCAATATTCATCAGCACGTAAAGTTGAGATGGAAAAGACAAAGATATCAATTCATGAAACGATCCAGTATACAGGACAGATAGACACTCTCCAAGAATTGGATTATCCATTTGGATTAAAAATGTACCACACCCACGAGGACCATGTCAGACATTTTTGTTAGTTTTCTAATTTCTTTTGCACGGGTGACATCTATATTATCCATACCAAACTCACCACTTCTATTATAACTAGGCAACTCTCATGTTCAAAATTCAATTTTCTCTTAAGAACCAAATCAGCTTATTTGATACAGTCCATCTTCTGACTTCCTATTAGTAGAATTTGGATTATATATAGAATTTAGATATATCCTAACATGCAGTATTGGTTGAGGTGTTAAATCCTAGTATGTGAAAATTTACACACAAGCTTGCCAACATCGCGTCTCCATTCTCCCACTGCCTTCTCAGGCTTATACTTAAATAGTAATTGCCCCTTAGCCAACTACAAGAACAGATAAAAGTTGTAGAGTTTGCTCTTCTGCGTTCTACTTTATCTTCTTCCTATGAACTATCAACACTCTCCAGATACACTAGCGTGACATTTCTGTGAAGAATTTAAGTCCAGAAAATTCTAAAATTAATAATTAAACAAAAAATGTAAACAATTATAAAAAATAAAAAATAAAAAATAAACTATTTCCATTTAGGCTACAATATCATAACAATTTAAACAGAAGAAAGTGTGATTTGATGTTTACACATTCTAATGTGATCAGATCAGATTTAGTTGCACAAATAAATCATCCCTACTCAATCACCAGCAAAAAAATTGTTTCAGAACTCTCATTAGCACACGAAACCCCCCCCACACACACAGACACACAGACACACACACACACACACAAACACAAACAAAAGGTCAAATCAACTCTAAATTTGACAATTTACGATCAACACGAAAGTTGACTTTTACTTCCAAACCAGTCATAAACACCGCAACCAGAAAAAAAAATGACAGATCACCGATTCAAAAGCGCATCTCCATTGATAGTCCTAAAACCTCTTTGATACTATAAACTGAGTAAACATGTAATTCAAATCAAACCGCTGGCATAAACATTCACCTGATTTCACCAACAAAATAAATTAAAAAAATAAATTAAAATAAAAAATAAAATCAGACCGGAAAATGTCCCAGCAGCAGTCGAGTCCGGGAATCGGCGCCGGAAAACCATCCTTGGCAAAAATACTCCGATAAACCGGTCCGATCGACGGCTTCCCATCCTTGGCCGGCTTCGAAGGCTCCACCTCCACAATAAACTTGTCCTTCGCCATCTCCAAACCTTAACAAAAAATCTCAACACGCAAAATGTGTGTGTTGTGTGTACACGGAAAAAGTAAATAAGGGGCAGATTTTCAATCGTAATAATATATACTATAAATTTATGTGCGCGTATATATAGGTGGTAGTTTTGTGAGCAAAATCCAAACGTATTAACGTGTGCGCGTGGACTAGTAGCTCGGCTTGGGGGGGGGGGGTGGGGGTGGGGGGTGAGGGGGGACCCCGTGGGATGCAAATAGTTTGTTGTGTGGCCAGCGAATAATGTGATCGGAGGAGAGAGAAAATACGAGTGTGTGTGTGTAGATTCACAGAGTTCAGAGTCAAATTCCAGATGTATTTGCTTATTAAATAAAATTATTTTTTGTCTGAAATAATAGTAATAATAATGTAAGAAAATCGAATTGGAAATAAATTTCAAAGTAAATATTATTGGTTTTAAATTTTAATATAGATACTAGCGTAAATCACGGTCGCCTTTGAGATGAAGTGAAATTACGAAAAACTCCCTCATATTTCGGTAATTATAAGCACATTCAATTATAAATCTTCTTACACATCTACACTCGTGATGTCAGATTTAGTGGAGTGTGAAATATTTTTCAGTTTATACTTTATACCCATTTTATCCATTTCGAGCACCACATTTTGAAACAAGAAAATCATAAGATGTGTATCTTTACTTGTAAATATCAGATAGTGGTGCATCAAAAACTGGATTTTTGCACAAAACGACTACAAGTAGAGAACGTGAGATGTGTCTCTTCACTTGTAAATATCAGATAATGGTACATCAAAAATTGCATTTTATCATAAAACGAGAATATAAAGAACATTTCACGAAATCTATAATAGTATATGTTAATTTGGCACCATAAGAGAAAATGTGTTAGGAGATTCATAATTAATGGAATGATTGTAATTATTTAAACATAAAGGATTTTTGCATAATTTAACTTTATATTAGTGAATGGACATAATTTACCTACTCATTATATCCGACCAAGTAAATTGAATATTATTTTGAATATTATTACTACTTTTATTGATGACATATTAATTACCTTTAAAAATGCTACTCCGTGCATCGCACGGGTGTAGTACTAGTAACATATTAAATGCCAATGGCTGGGCCTTCACATTATTACACAACCATAAGTTTGAATCCTGAAATGTTTCCTCGGAAGTCGGGCCTCAAACCGAATATTTCCCACAAATATTAAAAAAATCAATTTGACGTGATCATAAATATAAATAGGGCATCAAATATAATCATTATTATTATCATTATCATCATATGCTTATACAAAAATTTATTTCATTTTTCTTTTATTATTATTTAATATGAAGCTTATACTACAAATTTGGTATTCATAGGTTGTCTTTCGGTTTGCCTTGTCTTCCCATGTCTCATGTCCCCCTTTGACTTTATTGATTTGCCTTTTCCTTTTTCCTTTTTGTTTTCTTTTTAATACTTATTTTATTTTTAATGGCCTCCTAATTCTGAATACATATCTATTAGTTTACAATTTTAATATTGCATTAAATATATATATTTTCAATTCTACCATTATTAACCCTTCAACATTATCCCTGCATTAATTAGTAATAAGGGTTTTTCAATCTAATAATATCTATTTTCTTAAAATCAAGACACACTTATCAACATTCATAAGATTTATGCAAAAGTGACAACGGCGGTTAATTATAAACGGACGGGCTATCCCTTTACAAGAAAACACATAAACTTATACATATGCGAGTAAATTTCGACTCTCGTTAAATAGTCCATAAATTACAGGAAATAGGCAAATTCCATTTAACAAGCCAAACGAATTTGACCTAGAAAGTGTTGGCACTTGGCAGTGAAAATCAATCGAACTCGAGTCATTTACAAGTTGCATATTTCTCGCTTCACCAACTATGTCAAGTTGTGAACCTTAGTAGAGGCATTACATTGTTTTTTTCTTGTTTAAAACTGCATACACCTGGTCTAAATAATAACAAGTGTAGCTTTCAAGGTATATATTTCATATAATATATAAAGATTTAAGTAATTATTTAAGTTATTGGTTTAGGTGGATTGGATTAGTACAACCGTACGACTTGTGCTCAATTTCTGGACCTTCAATAAATTAATATAAGTTCACATCTAGACCCACAATTTCTTTGTCAAACTTAATTTTGTACAATAAGGGGCTTGAT